ATTCATGAAACAGTAGTTCAATAAAATTTTGAATGCAAGTCAACAAAGGAGATGACATGGTCTTTCACACATGACCTGTCTTGAAAGGGTTAAAAGCTCATTTTTAAATTATTGTAGTTCTGGTTTACTTAGTTAGATTGTACTGTTCATTGAAAGTTTTAAATAATTAACTAGTTAATGTCAGAAAAGAAGTGTGTCTTTATTGTAAATTATGAGAAATTTTAGAAATTATGGTTAATTCAAAATGGACATAAAATTCCTTTTCTGAATCTTACTGTGAACCATATGAAATATCTAACTTTCAAGTTCACTGTTGTTAGTAAAAAAAACAACAACTAAAATTAGTACATCTAAACATGTATAAACTACATCAAATAATTGGTATTTAAATGAGAAGATAATTGCTTCAGTGAAACAATTTCAAATTACCTAAACCAACAAATTTCTAAGTTCAGTCTTACATCAAAGAAAATTAAGTGCTTCATCTAAACCTCTGTAAAAATTACCTTAAAACTAATTATCTAAGTTCAGTACTGTTTCAAAGGGAAGTAAAATGTCTCAATTACACCTTGCTGTAAATAATTTAAAACATGTATTTTCAAGTTTGTTGTTGCTGTTTTATTTTTTCCCAGAAGGAAGTAAAAGTGCCTCACCTGATCCTGACTGTATCTTCAAACTTGGTACAAGTCCTCACATAAATAAATTCTTGGCCAGAGAACCTCCTGATGGTTGTGAGAAAGTGAAAATTGTAGATGAGCGAAGGTAAGTAAATGGAAAACAAATGTTTGTTTATATTAGCAGGAAATGTGCAGAATGTGATTGTGAAAAACCTAAAAAATTATTGTGCGAGCAGTTTCTTCATTTTTATTTAGCCTTGCATATTTTTTCTTTAATTACCTTGAAGAAGCTAGATGAACTACAAATCCAAAAAGAAAATGGAAAAGATTCATATTTCAAAAGATTCTTTTCATTCAGGTTAAAAAGATGAAAGACTACACTGCAGTATTAAAATGAAAAAAAAAGTTGCTTATGCAAAAGTATAGTTGTAAGTTACTGGAATGGATGTCAGTAATGATGTACACCAAAAGTATAGTTGTAAATTACTGGAATTGATGTCAGTAATGATGTACACCAAAAGTATAGTTGTAAATTACTGGAATGAGATGTCGATGATGATGTACACCAAAAGTATAGTTGTAAATTACTGGAATTGATGTCGATGATGATGTACACCAAAAGTACAGTTGTAAATTACTGGAATGAGATGTCGATGATGGTGTACACCAAAAGTATAGTTGTAAATTACTGGAATGAGATGTCAGTAATGGTGTACACCAAAAGTATAATATAAAGAAATATTATGATAAGATATTAAACTAAAAACAACAACAAAAAGATAATACTGCTGAAAAGAAATAAGTCAGTATTAAATTTACGCATACTACAATAAATAAAATCAAACAGAGGAACAAAAAAAACCATAAACTTAGCTTTGTGTTTTTATTTAAAAAAAATTAAATACTGAAGTGCCTGTTACCAGTTGCAATATAAATGGATAGTTGCAACACCAAGAACTACATTTGCATCATTGTGTAAGTGTATCTATGTATGACTGCTTTGAAGATGTTTTGATGTTTATCAACTTGCATTTGATCATAGAAAATTAACATTGTTTACAGATGGTGACACATTTGTAGCTGTGTGCATAAGTAAACATGTTGCCATGCTCTGCTCAGTTGGAAGTGGTAATGCTTCAGTAATAATTTTCATGCTAATATTATGTTAAGATGAGTTCAAATGACTATTCTGGTAATTAATTGTCATTCATTAGTGAAATTTGCTGTGAATACAAAACTTTTCCTGGTGCTAGACCATATATATATATATATATATAATTCACTTTTCAGCATGGTTATCTTGTTTATTACAATCGATGGATTTATTGGTAACATATCTATCACTTGATAAAATATTAACACAAGTACAAGTAGTACAGGTTTGAATTGTTGGTATTGTATTAGGATTCAAATGTAAACTATTAATTGATTTTTATCCCATAATGTACCTCACAAGATCTTGCATGTTGTAATCACTAACATGAGCACAACAAAATACTGAATTGTCTGAATAAACAAAGTTTGTTTTTTTTGTATGCAACTTGTATATATTTTTTAGTTAGCTTTCAGTTTCTAGTCCTTTGGAAAGTAATGAAACCTGTACATTGACCAACAATTTTAATTTTATACAAGTCAAAATAATAAATTATAAAAGGCAAACTCAATCTCTTTCAGAAAGTGATCCTTCTTTAACTTCTTTTTTCATGGGTAAAAATGAATTTCCTTTTTTTCTGGTCAGAATTATGATAAGTTTTATCATACAATATAATAACTAGAAAGGAACATGTGAAGTCTGTTTACAACATCATATATATATTTCAGGTAGAATTTGTGCCAAAATTCATGTTATACCCCTGGCTGGCTATAGCTGTATAAACTAGGGACAAAATTCTATGAATGTTTAAACCCAAATAAAGTATACAAATGCAGTATTTGCTTTAAAAGCACAAAATTCATTATTTGAACAATTTAGCAAATTAAGCATTGAAGTAACAAACAAAACAAGCATGTTATTGTAAATAAAATGCAAATACAATTTTTTTACCACTTTTAGGAGTGAAGAACTTCAATTCAACACTCCATTAAATACAGATTTTGTAACTGGGGGATGAAGCATAATCCTAGATTTAGGAACCTAAAAAGAAAAATCTCTCGTATTTCATTGCCAAAATTAACTGAACATAGCAAAGCAATGTGAGCTGGATATTTTTCACTATTTATGACAAAGTATAAGGAAACATCATATTATTATATAGTCAAGCAGCTTTAAACATTGCATCAGAAAATACTCTAAATAATATTATACCCAATCAAGTTAAATTAAAAATTTTTTACCAAATTATAAACATTAAAGTTTACAAGAAGAAAGTAAGATTGTTTTATCGTTAAATAAATAATTTTTTTGGAAGTCTTATTTTTGATATTCTGTACTGTTTAATGATATATGTATGTATATATATATATATATATATATAAGTAAAACTTAAGTGTAAGGTACTTTTATATACTTTTTACAAAGTATTTTAAATTGATGTTCAAAAAACCATTTGATCAAACTGTAAACATGTAAAGAAATCACAAATGTATTTTGCTGTAACTGTATCATGATTCAATTCACTAAGAAGAGGAACATTCTAATATTGGAGATAACCAGAAAGGTTTATCTAATTTACATGAACTATTTACAATATCATGAAACCAAGCAACAAGTGTAACATTACTGTTTACTATTTATTAATAATAACAAACAATTAATATATTGTTGTTCTGTAATGATGGATTGTAAGTTATTTTAGATCACACAATGTTGTGTACTTACGTACTGTTAGAAACAGTTTTATTTTCTGTGCCTGTGATTGGGTTATGACTTGAATTAAATTTACTGTCATTTGAAAAGATATTAATAATCCAAGAATTATACCAGTACCTTTCTCAGGTTTACATATGACAATCTGACTACTTTTTGTACACCTGAAACATTTCTTTATTTACTGTAATTAAACGGTTAAAAGTAAAATGATTAATAATTGACAAGTCTAATCAATGTATTTTCATTTTTGCTGAAAATAGTTTTTTTCAGTAAAGTTAATAATTTTTTTAAACTTTTGTAATAAACCATCTTACTAACACACTATAGTACAGACTGTCCATGTGAGCACTCTACATTACAGACTGACCAAATCATCAAATTCAAGTTGTAGTTTTTTCAGGGAATAAAAAAACTTCAATCTCCCAGGTGAAACTTATTCAGGAAATTAATTAAGTTATGAATGATACATACAAAATTTACCAGTAGGGTAGACAGTTTACTTAAATTTATGCAATTAGTTTCTACTGAAAAAGAGACAACATTTACTGATAATTTTCGTATTAAAGATTTCAGTAATATGACTTGAATGAATATAATCAAGATATTTAACCTTTTATGCACACTCACTTCTAAATAATTGTTATATATATAATTTAAACATCATTTCTTTTTTAATCTTTAAATGCCCTCCAGTGGCTCAGCTGTAAATCTGAGGGCTCAAACTGCTAAAAACCAGGTTTCTATACTTGTGGTGGACACAGCACAGATAGCTCATGGTGTAGCTTTGTGCTCAACAACAAACAAACAAACTTTAAATATTGTTTATTGCTACCAAATGTACCTTTAGCTCAAAAAGCTTAAGTAAAAATTCATATTTTTAAATTGTTTTAATCACAGTGATTATTAAGCAATGCATCTCATGTTATTGATGGTACGGTAACTTTTATTATATTTTTAGGAAATTTCAAGTTAATAGAAAAATGTTCTAGCTGAAAAAATATACTTTAAAAATATTCACTCAATTTTATACAATATACTGATAGGTATTAGCTTTAGAATTACTAATGGGATTTATATGGACTTCATCTACTTTTTAAAATATTTTTTCTTAACTTTTATACCCCAATTGCATCAAGTCCATGACTTCATTGGTTATTGGGCCCCCAGTAAATTAAGAGTCACACAACGAATATGAATAAAAATACCATTAATACTGCAATTAATCCTACTAATTTCTGCTGGGATTCCTTGTGTATTTTAAAATAGAAGTTGAGTGGTTTCGCTCAGTTTTTTATGGTCAGTTCTGTATAATGAGTATTGTAACAGACAAAAGTAAAATTACTCAGTGTGATGCAACATGTGCTCATCACAGATAGTAGATATTAAAACAAGTCAGTATTTTGAGGGTTAAAAGTAGACCATTGTTCCATGAATTCAACTAACTGTAAATTAGATCCTCTCAAGTTAAGGAATATCTAAGTTTTGAATTACTCAGTAATAGTTCATAAAAATAAACTGATCATTCAGACTTATAAT